CAGAAGAGTCGAGGGAGCAGAGCGGGTCGGCTTCGGGTCGAGGGCAAATGAGTCGAAGGATAGCGCGAGGGTAGCAGAGGGATTAAAGAGCGACGTGGGACGCAGGGTCATATCCGCGGCCCGGCGTTTCGCCTTTTCAGCTGTCTCCCAGACGACGAAAAAAAAAAAAAACATTTTGCAGTCTAGGGCCGCGCCGCACAAAATAAGCCCGCTTAAATAAAATCAATACGGACATCAGGAGCTTGAAAATTTTTTATAACGCTTCATCAACTCTGGATGACAATTTTCTACTTCTATTGAATGTAAGGAGGAAGGGAGGTCTGGCAATGATTTGAGGAGTGGAATGTTATCTAACGATAGATGCTTGAGGGATGAGATGGCCGACAAAGATGGCAGGAACTGTAGGTTATCAAGACTAATTATATACAGAAAAGACAAAGAGGGAGAGAGTTCTGGCAATGATTCGAGGAGCGGAATCTTAACTAACGAGAGGGATGAGATGGCCGACAAAGAAGATGGCAGGCACTGTAGGTTATCAAGATTACTTAGATGCAGTGAATCCAAAGAGGAAGGGAGGTCTGGCAATGATTTGAGGAGTGGAATGAATGCTAACGATAGCTTCTTAAGGGATGAGATGGCCGACAAAGAAGATGGCAGGCACTCTAGGTTATCGAGATACCATAGATGCAGTGAATTCAAGGAGAGAGGGAGTTCTGGCAATGATTTGAGGAGTGGAATGCCATTTAACCGTAGACCGTTGAGAGATGAGATGGCCGACAAAGAAGATGGCAGGAACTGTAGGTTATCAAGTCTATCTATATACAGTGAATTCAAGGAGGAAGGGAGTTCTGGCAATGATTTGATGAGTGGAATGCTTTCTAATTCTAGTTGGTTGAGGGATGAGATGGCCGACAAAGAAGATGGCAGACACTGCAATGATTTCAGAAAATAAAGTTCTAATCTTTCCAGGGAGGAGGGGATGTGTGGAAGCTGCTGGAGCTGAGGAACTCTTTCGACACGTAGAATCTTAAGTGAAGAGAGGCTTTCCCAGGAGGAAGGGAGAGACTGCAGGGAATTGGGGCCACTAAAGCTCAACTCACGAAGGGATGAGCTAACGTGCGGAAACCACTGCTCCGCCTCAATTGTAAAAGAAACCAGCAAAACATTATCACAAATTGTGAGCTTTTCCAAGGAGGCGATACTTACTTTTGGCAACAAGGATGGGTCATCTATAACAACTACACTGAGAATAAGCTGGAATTTCTCAATGCCACTCTCCACTTGTTGCAGTCCACCCAGAGAAATTAGATTGGGGCAACGCTTAATTGTCAATTCTCTCAGTGCTTCAAGTCTTGCATCCGCCTGAAGAAGAGATGTGATGTTTGGGCACGAAAGGACCTCTAAACTTTCAAGGGGAATGGATTTTGAAATGCCGCAACATTTGTTGGAGCCTTTCTTGCAGTTCAAAGCAGTTTTCCATCCAACTTCGTGTATCTGCATTTTCTTGAGCTTAGGAGGCAAATAGCTCAACTCCTGCAGATTTGGGCAGTCATCGAGGAAGAGTTCCGTTAAGCAAGGAAAGAAATATTCATCTGTTGCTGCTCCTTCTTTATCAAACAAATCCTCCAATAATTGTAATCCCTTCATATGTAGAACCTCCAGCGCTGGAAACACACAAATATTGTTATTCCCACTGAATTTATTATCAAGCTGCTTTACTTTTGGCATGTTACAAAGGTACAGAGACTTGAGGTGGGGAAGCTGCCCAAAAGGTGGAAGAGTTTCCCACTCCGAGCCAGACTGATGTGCTCCAGATTGGAGATCAAACGTGCATCGTACATCCATTTTGCACCGCTTATACCCTTGTATGAAACTATGGACAATCTCTTTAGATTTCTGTATGGTTTAAGATTTTCAAGCACATTCACATCTAAGTCAGAATTGACAATGTTCTGTAGGCTTCCATCTCTCATGTCTGACTTCCATTTCAAGAATAAATCTGTGAGTTTTTTCTTTTCACATAATTTTGCATCGCGAGCCTCTGCAGCATCGTTCACATTTTCCAGACCATTTATTTTTAATTTGCGCAACTCGCTCATTTCTTTCAACTCCCCAATTCTATAACCATTCTCATTCTTAACATTAAACTCACTTAGTTCTTGAAGTGACCTTAATTTCCCAATTCCAGGTACACTAGAAAACACATTCCGGGGCAATCCCAAGTGACGCAGATTAGTAAGATTACTCACATTGTCAGGCAAGAAATTATCAGAGCAAGATTCCAAAGAACACTCTTCATAGATTATGAACCTCAAATGAAAAAAACTGCTTAGAGATCTTGGCATCTGAGTGAGATTTGCAGTAAGATTCAAATATCGAAGATGTTTCAAGTTTTCAAAAGCCTCTGACATCTTTTTCTGCCGTGGACACTGTATGAACAACAAACGAATCCTTCTCCATGCTTCAGAAATTTCATAAAAATCTGGACCACGTATTTCACTGATAAGAAAAAGTGAATGTAGATTTTTAACATCTTTGATCATTCTCAACACTTCTAGATTTTCAGTTTTAACATATAAGTGTCGAACATTTATAGGAATTTTAAAAGATGAAACATTATCTCCCACGAATCTAAAACATTCTTCTGAAGAAATAGATTGTGCCAATTCATGTAATAAATCATGCATCTTATAGTATATTTTCCAATCCTGAAACACGTCAAAAAAGGATTTTCTAACCAAAACTTCAAAATACCTTCCTCCAATATCTTCCAAAGTCTCTCCTTCAATAGAAGATTCCTGAATGAAACCCAATGCAATCCACATTCGGACTAAATCATCTTTATCAAACTTATGATCTTGTGGGAATATGCCACAAAATGCAAAACAAATTTGTAGAGATTGTGGCAGATATGTAAAGCTAAATCTTAGAATGGGCATAATCGGATTAGTATTCAGATCCAAGACTAGTTCTACTCTTCCAATATCACTGTTTGAAATTCTTTGCCAATGCTCTGGAGTCAAATCATACTTTAGAACACCACCAATGACCTTTGTCGCCAATGGAGATCCTGAAAGTTTTTTAACTATCTCTTCAGCAATGCTCATTAATTTCTTATGTTCACTACTAAAATTCTCCATGCCAGCAAATGCGTGAGTCTTGAGGAGCTCCAAACACTGAGCTTCCTCCAAGCCCGTTAATGTCAACGTCTCCTTATTCTCTATAATAATATCTGGAATCATTGATGCAGCTGCATTTATTCGAGTTGTAACCAATATCTTGCTTCCCAATTTTCCATTAGCCAGAGGAGAGATAACTTTCTCCCATTTGGTTGTATTCTCCTCCCAAATGTCATCCAAAACAAGCAAGAATTTCTTGGACCGCGTCACAGAATTAAGTCTCTCTTGAAGAGGAGGAAGTATTGTCAAATGAGAACTCCATTCATCAAGATATTTCAGCATATCCGTGATGACTTTTTCAACCTCAAAGTTGTGAGAAACACAAACCCAAATTTTAAGATCAAACTCTTTTGTTATGTCATCTGCAAAGATATTTTGTAACAGAGTCGTCTTCCCCATGCCACCATGACCCACTACAGATAGAAGAGAGAGGTTGTGATCTGATGGTTTTCTCAACCACTGCTTCACAATCTCTTTTTCCTGGTCTCGACCGATGAAAAAAGGTCCAGGAAAGGATCCGCTTGCACGATAGTCGCAAAGCTGCTGATCCTTCACCTGCCGTTCCTTCTCTTTCTTTTCTACAAGATGAAGGAAGGTATTGACCTGGGCTGAAACTCTATCGAGTTTCTGCACAGCCACCTCCAGTCTCTCGAAGTTTGGATCAATTTTGAGACCTCGTTCGCAGACTTTACGAAGTTTCGGTCCCAAAAATAATCTATTGAATGAAGAACGCACCTTTGTTTCCTCCATGTTCTGCTCCAGTTGTTCTTCAAGCTTCATGTACTCTAAGTCATCTAGAACATCATCCGCCTCATCGATGGC